TTTTCTCTGGTTACTCTCTTAGCAGGAAAAAGAACTGGAGACCCTACAATGAATTTCCGTTTATTATCATAAACATGAGAAGAGCTAGAATGCCTTTATTTATGTAAATAAGACATATTGATTTATTAAGGAAAGCGGACATTCGGTGGCTCATCTTAATCCGGTCGATGAAATGGCAAATGTTGGCCGAAGCATTTGGTTGGAGCCTGCAAACTATTTGCAGCTTTTAAAATACTTTACTTTATCTAAAAAGAGTTAGCAAAAGGAAACATAAGGAAATCAGGCGGAACTCATAAAAAACAATGGTGATCATGTGATTCATGGATTTTTTTTTTAACGATTTTATAAATGTGTGGATGGTTTGCCAAACGCGTTTTAAACCTTCTTTTCGTGGAACAAAGTCCCTCGAAAACTTTATATACTCCGCCTAATTGCCCGCCACAATATATATTTAATTATATAAATATATTATATGAGCGTTCTTTCCTTGTAATTTTTTAAACTTCTGTCAAAGTACATAAATGGCTCCCCGGCAAGACAGAGCACCTCTAGTACTTAATCGTACATCAAGAGGTGTTTCATCGCCTGGGCTTTATTTTGGTACTCTGAGTGCTATTTCTACTTTCGGCGGTGGTAATTTTGAAGGCGGTGTTAGAACATATGACAGTTACATGATACGGAACAACGTTGGAGAACTTTATCATAGTTATGCTGAGTATAAGAAGAAGAACATCATTAATGGAAACAAACGTAAAGTTCATTTTAATTTGGCACATGCTGTACGGGAGCATACAGTAAGTACAAAAATTTACACGGTTAAACTTTATTACAGTTGCATTTGACAAAATGGATTTTCGTATAGTGATAGTGGACCTATTCAGTCTACAGCATAGTAAACGAAAAACTGTCATGAATTTTTATACTCCAAATTTGTTGGTACCCATCTGATTATAATTATTATACTAGAAATGCACTTATACATTTATTTGCATTGCATCTCTCCTTGTATTTTTTGAGTACAAATTAAAAGAATTTTCCATTATACGATGTAATTTCGACTCACTTTTATCCTTTACGATGATTATTAGGAATCTCTTCGGGAAAGAGATAAAGTCATTGCTTTGGAACAAGAAGCTATGATGTACAAGTTCAAACGTCAAGAAATTCAGGCCCAAGCCCGAGAATGTAACATGACAAATCACAATATATTTTGCTACAATTGCTGTTTTGCTTTGAGGTATTAATAAAATCTATATTTAAACAGTACGGCGTAAAATTCACAAGAAAAATAAGGAAATCCGTCAAAAGAAGCACGAAGTAAAGTATTTGAGGGCTATAGAACGAGAATTGATAGAATACCTTGAAAAATGCGAATCCCAGTCCCGGGAAGAAGCACAACCAGTAATACAGATTGCTTCGCCACTGGCCTTCGGAGTAAGTTTGCCACAAAATGCATTTTATTTTTAAAACTCTTTTTTTATCGTATTGATCATTTTATTCATTCACTTAGGCTAATATATATAGAGTTTATGTGTTGTGCGCTGCTTTAATCTCTTTCCTCTTGGTTCGTGTCGTTTCTTACGGATCCATTGTAGTTAATCGTGTGTGAATTCTATGTGCTTAGGGTAGAACATACCCGTTGAAATTGATCATTCATGGTATACGAAATTTTATTAATATTTTACGCTTTTGGCATATACTTATCCGTGGTTCACGTTAGTGTAGCTTTATAATTAGATAATTCTTTTCGTGGATGATGTCAGTGTCTTTGCATAAAAGGAGAATGTTAGTTGACGACTTTTGTTTAGAATCAATAGTCCCAATATTATCATATTATATGTAATATCTCCTGCTTTATCTTATCCACAAGTCCATTAAATATAGTATTAAAAAGGATGGAATTACCAGAGTTTTTCTAAATCAAGCATCCTTTATTATATCTAATGTTTATAGTCGAGTCTGACTTATGTCCTTGCGAGAT